CATATATTTCTTGCTCTGCTATGTGTAATTTGTCAGTAGGTTGTAGGAGTAATATGGTTCCCTCTGATTTTCAAAACTAGCTAGGCATTATTTATCTCTCGCATTGTCTCACCCCTCCACCATAGTTTTCCCACTTAAGGTGCCATTTCCCCCCTTTCTCCCTTAATAATAACCCTTCTCCTACATCCTACCTCTCTTGAGCTCCTTCTTTCCCCTTATCCCCTAGGCTCCTTGTATAACCTTCCCTCTCCCCTCCTTTAAACTTAAACATCCAAAAGGAAAGTGTAACCAAAGATTAAAGGGGTCAATATAATTCTTTAAGAGTCCATGTGTATAGCTAAAGGTTGCATAACAAGAAACAATGCCAGACAGGAGATTCCTTCTTTTGAGTTAATCAGGGTGACCCAAGAGACTCCCAGATGGTAACCCAGCATAGAACTGGGAAAATGAACAGCAGACCCCAAAATCTTATCTAAAGGAATATTGACAACTGATTGCTGCTAGATGAGGAACAGCTGATCTTCCTAAACAAGGAACTCTAGATAGGCTGACTAGATTCAGCAGACAAGTATTGGGGAATGGCTGGGGGTGCCAACACAGCAGACAGTAGCAGGGATATCAGAGTATAAGGGCTCTAGTGAGGGGAGGCAGGCTATGGGAGGGTGCCATCTGGGAAGTGGGTGTATAGTGGAATAAGATAGTTTTGGATGTTCTGTGTGACATACACACACATTTAAAAAAATCAAATTTTTTAAAATGTATTATATTTGAGGAGGAAGCCTAGAAATTTACATCAAGCTAATTAGTAGTGATGATAAACATTAACATTGAAATCTACCCAATGACTTCATAGACATACACAGGTGCCAAGGATCCAAGTGCAACCGATTATGACTAGTAATAATCAGATGCATACAGATTAGAGATGCATGTGCCAACATCTCAGTGTTAGTAGCAAAAACAATGAGTCTTTCTTCAAGGAATGATACATTCTAAAATGAAATGGAGATCTTTTTTGGCTATGGGAGGGTCTCATTTAGGAAGTGGGTATATAGATGAATAAGATTGTGTGGGATGTTCTGTATGATATACACAAAAAAAATCGATAAATTAAAAAAAAAGACATATTTGAGGAGGAAGCATAAACATTTACTTCATGTTAATTAGTAGATGTGAAAAACATTACCATTGAAATCTACCTTATGACTTTATATCCATGCTCAGATGCCAAGGAGCTCAGAAAGTAACCGACTGTGTGACTAGCAATAAATAGAGATCAGAAACGCATGTGCATCTTAGTGTCAATTGTATTAAAAATGAATTTTTCTGTATGAAACTGCATATTTTAATAATGAAATGGAGATCTTTTTTAAAGGTTAAAACCTCATTTAATTTTCTGTTTTACAGGGTTTATACTGAGTACAATATTGTATAACTGTAACAATTCAACTGTAAACCTAAAAATTTATAGCCAATTTTAAAAAAGATGCATCTTAGGTCAGAAAATTGTTATTGAATATGTCAATGCTGTTGTAATGAAATGCTTCATCTGAGTATGTGGTTATTAAATAAATAATTAACAAAAAAAACCCATAGGTTTCTTCTAAAAACATTAAAAATAGTACACTCTATGAAAAAAAAAAAAAAGGAGGTGCTGGAGAGAAGGCTCAGCAGTTAAGAACACTGGCTGTTCTTGCAGAAGAACCAGGCTCGAATCCCAGCACCCACATGGCAGCTAACAACTGTCCATAACTCCAGTTCCAGGGGATCTGATGGCCTCTTCTGTCCTCCTTGGGCATTGCACTGCACAGGTGCACTTACCTACACACAAGCAATACACGCATACACATAAAATAAAAATAAAATGTTTTTAAAAAGATAGATGCTTGTGATACTAGTCTAGCAGAAAGAGAGACAGAGACAGAGAGAGAAAGCAAACAAATACAGCAGTTAAGTCACACTGAGATACTTGTCTAGCAGCCAGGCAGAACTCCGAGAGCCTGGTGGTATGCAGGTCAGTGAGGCCATGGGAAATGCTTTATTTCTCAGGGATGTGCAAGTGGCACAGCCATTAACACTGAGGAGTTTTATTTTATATGCTAAGTGGGATCTTGCAGTATTTGTCATTTTGTGTCTGGATTTTGCCAAGTTTCTTTCCTGTCTTAGCACATAGCCGCACTTCATTGCTTTTTTTTAATTTTTAAAAATATTTTATTATTTTTATTTTATGTGTATGAGTGTATTGCCTACATGTATGTGAGAGCACCCGTGTCGTGCAGTGCCATGGAGGTCAGAATAGGGCTTCAGATTCCTCTGGAACTGGAGTTAAGGATGGTTCATAGCCGCCATGTGGGTGCTGGGAATTGAACCCAGGTCCTCTGCAAGATCAGTCAGTTCTCTTAACCGCTGAGCCATCTCTCCAGTCCCAGCACTTCATTGCTTTTTATGAGTGAATAATATTCCATGGTATTGATCACATTTTCTTTATCCATTCACCTAAGAGTTCCTTAATTTGTTCTATATTTTGACTATTGTGAATACTGTTGTGTCCATTGGCCTGCAAGTATCTGAGTCTCTAGTTTTGGTTCTGTTTGTTTGTTTACTTGCTTGCTTGTTTGAGACAGTCTCACTATGTAACTCTGACTGGCCTTGAACTCAAAGAGCTCCACCTACCTCTGCTGGGATTAAAGTCATAGGCCACCAAGCCTGGCCTTAATTCTTTTTTTTTTTTTT